AAAGAGTGAAAACTCTCTTTAGTGCATTTAAAGGAAATGTGGGTTCAAATAAATAAAATCGATGCAAATTTGTTTAAAAAAAAAACAAAAACAAAAAACAAGCAACCTACTTAAATAGCTGTTAAGAACCCAACAGCGCTTCAGAGCTTCTAACAAATCAAATGAATGCATATCAAAGAGGTGACGTGGACTGCATCAACAAAATACCAAAGATTTGCATAAATATGTATTTATAACACTTGGTTTGTTTGCAGGTTTTACTTTTTGCATCCCCCTGCATGGACTGTGCATCTACTGTAGAGCCACAGACAGTGTTAATTTACAGCATCCATTTATGTCAGTGTGGTCTGTTTTTGGCTTCTTAGACATCACATCTGCTATAGCACAGCAAAAACTGCAGGTTCTAAAGCCGCTTCAGCATCAAGCGCATAAATAGCTTGATAAGCAGTTGAAACAATCCTGCTGAGAATGAGGTCAGTTACGGAAACTTAATATATGACAGGAAGCAAGTGTTTTGTTTATCTACTCACCACAATGGGGCAGAATGTTGCTAGTTGGTCATAAAGATACCTTGCCTCATCAATGCTGCAAGCCTGGAATGTCACCTGCAAAAGCATCGTAAAAATAGGATGAAGTACACTTATAAGTTACTTATTAGGAATGTGAAGCTGACAAAGACAACCAGACGTGGCATGCTGCTCGGTCATTTCATTCACTACCTGCAGACAGCAGTTGCCCATGCCGAAGCCCATGGCATCCATGTAGATATGGTCAGGCAGAGCCGCCCTCGCCGCTTCGCCATCATCCTCAGGAAATTCTTCCACAAACGGAGATGGAGTGCACTTGTCTTTGAAAACTAAAGGGTGACAAGAAATTTGGTCACAGGCATTTATTCCACAATGTCTTAAAGGCAAATGAATCACATAAAAAAAACAAAACAAACAACTTTAACTCCATTTACAGTAGCTTACAGATTCCACATTACACATGTGTTCGACTCTGACCACATCTACAGGTCGCAATTGTTGCTTATCACAAAAAAACAAGAATATAAAAATATCCTCAATTCAGTCAGACTTACTTGGCACATTTATTACAACTTTTTCTCCCCTTCTGTGACGTATGTTTCTGGTTAGAGTGCTGAAAAAAACCCGTAAAAAATACAAGTAAAATGTATTTATTTATACAGCACTTTTCACAGATTCAAAAAAATAATAATAAAGTGCTACACAATAAAAACACAAGAAGCAAAAGTATGAGATCACAATCTAAAACGTAATAAAAATCAAACGTAACCATGCAGATATTTCCTGCCCATCAGTTTCTGATCTATTTTGCTCAACTAACTCCAAAATTTCTAATTAAACACATCTAAACTGTACTGACATTACAACCATGAAGCCTACCTGAATCTCGGGTGTCTGTTGATGGCTTCATCGGGGAAAAACAGCGACTTGGACACTCCTGTTTCAACAGGAGTTGGTCGGTACTCTGGTTTGGTGAAACCCGGGCAGCCTAACCTGAACAAAACCATCACATAACGCAACATTAAAAAGCTGCGGCTGACATTTTTTAGAACAATCCCATATCAGCTAATAGATTCACATTTGTATTGACTTCCTTTATGAGGGTAAAAACCTTTGATCAGTATAAACTGAAGCACCTTGGAAATGCGGTGACGGTGCAGAGCGTTTCTTTGGGGTTCAGGACAGACGACGCCTCGCGCCGCCTCTTCCTCATGTTGCCCTCGACAGTGTTGAACTCTGACATTGTCCCGCCATATGGCTGACCTGGAGTTCCCTCGATCATGTAGCTACCATACTCTGGTCTCCACAGTGTGGGGTGACTGCAAAAACACACAAAGTGTATTATTAAGCTACAACACTTAGAGGTCAGGCTGGAAAAAAGGCCCCTGGTTTCAGTATCACGATGACCTTTCTGATTAAATAAGCGGACCGCTCTCCCTTTATCATACGTCGGGCGTAATCCTGGCGGGGGCAAATGAACGCGACACATTTGTGCTTCTGAGCCTGCTCTTTGGTGTGTGCGACAGAGGGGCAGTAATGAGGAATGCATCGGCTCTACTATTCCCACTGTCACTGGTATTTCCCCTGGGTGAAGTTGGCTACACAGATTTAGACCAACGTCATGGGCTGCAAGCAAACATAACACTCAGGAGCCTGTACAAACACATTTACAGCGACTGCAGAGATAGCACTACAGATTAGACATGCAAACAGTATTCCCAGGAGGAGCTCATCAGGGGGGAAAATACCTTGGCATCACCTTGGAGACATCAGTCAGTCATCAAAACTTTTGTAACCGATTAATTTCTGCGTCACATATTTTTAAAGCCACCTAAACGACACTAAAAAAGGGCACATCACAGAAACACTGTGCTGTACATTTTTTTGTTTTTAACAAGTGTGCTACGCACCCTTTTCTTGTGCTGCAATATTAATTGAACTATTGAGCAGAAAGACTGGAAGATTTAAGCTTTGGTACCATGTGCAGGGAGCCTGTGCCAAAATCAAACAGAATAACTCAAAGCTCTGAGTCGGGGAGATGTGTCTCTTCCAGTTAACTGCTTGTGCAAAGACAATGTGATCAACAGAGAGTCTCTGTGCATGTTCTGTATGGACACATTTTTTTTTTTATAACCTTAGGTTAAAAACTTCTGATGAGATAAGACAACCATGTTTGACTGTTTAAGACTGTAGTTTTTAGAGTGTATAGTAAAAAAAAAAAAGTTAATCTGAGATCATATTAGTAAAAGAATAACTACTGATCTCAGGAGCGTTTCACAGCATAAATACTCAAAAGATTTTGCGTTAATGGCACCAACTTGTGTGATTTGAGGAAAAACAAAAACAAATAAATACTCAAATACAGTGAATGGAAACAGCTGATTGAGAGTGAAAATCCAGCAGCCTGTATGATGTGAGAAACAGGATGAGACAGGAGGGTCTGACTCCTGGACAGAGCAGCCTGCACACTCAGAATGGGACATTCAACCCAACTGCACTTCTCAGGTGGTTTTGTTTAAGCGTGTGTGTATGCATGTAAATAAAAAAAAATGTAAAAAATGTTTAGCATTTTATTTTTGCGGGTATAAGCTGCCACAGAGCTCTGTTGAACATTGCACATTAAACTAAATGTTCTACAACAGCTGGAGGAATAGGGAGCTGTAATTTCTAATGCATAAGACCTCCACTGAGCAGCTATAGCATCTGTTACTTTAAGTCACATTGACGCATATCAAAAAGAAGTGTTTTCTCTTAACTGCTGCACTTCCAATTTAAGTTATAAAAAAAGCCGCCATGCACCAACTCAGGAGGATTCACTGAGGCTGATAACAAAACAAATACAAAAAGAAAGTGTCCGCCTGCGATGCATCCTGATTTAACCTTTATACGGCATCTCATCTCACTCCTCCTCTTCTTATTATCCCACTGTGTCATAAGCAAAGCAAGATCCGCCATTAATCTCTCAGCGTACATTTATTCAAAACAAACCGACAGCCTTTTTGTCACAGCTCCTGACATTTGAGGTGTGGCATTTATTCAAATGTTATTCATATTCTAGTTTTGTGTGTTGCCATTTCAGTACAACAACACTGTCTCCATAGTGTAGTGGTTTACACATTTGCCTAACAAGTAAAAGATCCCCAGTTTAATATTGGGAGGAGACACAAAGGAGAAAACAACACTAGCCAAGTAAATTATGAGCATCTTTCATATTTTAGTAGCATATGCAACTGAACACACACACACACACACACACACACACACACACACACACACAGTTAAAGTGTACCTACTTGGGGTTTATGTTTTCTCCCTGGTCCTGCAGAGTTGCTAAAACATCTCCACCATTCAGGACGAGGCGAACCTTCTCATCCTTGTCGTCAAACTCCACCAACATGTATTCAACCTAAAAGCAAAACGATCAAAGACAGAATTAGACAAATACTGTATTTAAAGTACTTGCCTGATTTTTTTCTTTTTAAATAAACACCAGACTTTCCATTGGCGCTATAGACGCCATCACATCAATTCCAATTCATCAGTTACATTTCCTTGACTTTTGACTCTGCTACCCTGTAATCCCCTGTCTGAAAGAGGGATTAATCTATAACAACAGCATTCCACATGGTTTGAAATCAAAATACTTTGTTCAAGCTGTACAGATTTTTGTGGCTGGTGACGGATGAAGAGATGTGAAGTTTTGAATGAAAATGTAAGAAAAAACCACAGCGAGCAACAGACAAAGCCACATACATTGCATAGTAGCCATTAAGTTACCATCCACACAGTAAGGAGTGTCCTCATGTGGTAGCAGGCATGCCAGCAGTGTAAGCAGTAAGGGAAAAATAAATAAGTGTTGGACCACCACCAGTGACAAAGCTGGACTTCTGTTTTGTCATGTTTTTTTGCTCACGGCTCTCTTCAACTCTAATTCAACGCCCCGAACACCTGACTTAAAAGTCAAAACTGGCTCCATGGTTACGGCCTTGTCATGTCAATAAACTCAAACATGCTGGGAATTACATTGCTTCACATATTGCAAGCAGGCCAAACTAGTTTTATATCGGGGGCCATATACAGCTACCGGAGCGGTTGGTGCAAAGGAGCACAATTTCAACAAGCACATCTCGGTTTTTCTACACGATAAAGAAATGTCTAAAATTGCTACCCAGACTGTCCCGTAATTATAAAGCAGGAAACTTCTTTTAATTTACAGAAAATGTCCTGCTTTATTTATTTTATGGTGGACACATGAAAAAAAGAAAATTCTATATCAGACAAACACGAACTTTTCTGTCATTTAATTGTTTATCTATTACTTAATTACTTGTGTGTAGGCAGAGTAGGGCAAGCTGTAATATATGTAAAAATACAGTTAAAAGTCCAAAACGTATGCCTTCCTTTGAAATTTTCCAAATATGGCCAGAGGGTCGGATTGGAGTCTTTGCCTGGCCAATTCTGGAACCAGGTGTTCTGACAAAACGTCCTACCCATCAAGCTGCCCTACTTGTTGTTACTGCGCATGCGCACAATTCAAAACGGCCATGTTTCCGGTGTAAATAGTACACGCCTATTATTTCATCCTACCCCGATCTTGTGCCGATCTCATTGCTTTCGAAAAAAGGTTTGTATTATAAGTTTTACTTCTTTATTACAGATCATATTTGTTTACCTTAAGCTGCTCAGTCGAAGTCATATTCCAAGTGTTTATTTGGTGCTTTTAAACTTCTGCAAACCTTCTCAATTTATTTTAGTCGTCCTGCAGTTACTGGACACCACGCTCCGTTGTTATGTTGAAGAAAGTACTATTGCACCACATACTTGTTAATTGCGTGATAACGTTGTGTAGTCGTTTTATTTACTGTATGGATTCCGAAGCCATGTTGAAATTGTCCGATTTTCTCCTTAGTTATGGAGAAGAAATACGAGGAACTGCTCGAGTTCTGCTGAGTTTTGCTGTTAAAGGTAAATAATTCCATTTATTGTTAGCTACAATTAGGACTTTACATTATAATAATGAGAAATCTCACAGTTTGCAGAACACTACCTTGCTTTTGGAGAGGTCAGTGAAGTATTAACCACTACAGAAGCAGTTGTGCTGGAGCGAATGCAGATAGCTTGCACCCTACTTGAACATCGAGGTAAGTCCAGTAAAGTCCTTATCACGTTAGAGTGTGTACTTCCAATTTAAATAGGGCTTTTTAAACAGCACAGTACAAAAAGTGCTTTTCAAACACTTTCAGATAAGACCCTTCTTTAAGTCTAATTAAAAAAATTCAGGGGACAAATTTGCCATGAAGTATTTGTGGAAAAAATGTACTATTATTTTTGAATTAATCAATAAATAATGTTTGATTAAAACCTAACCATAAATGTGTTTCAGGGAACGCTGAGGATTACTGCATTGTTTGCTCTATGTTAGATGCTGACGCTGACCGCAGCATGATTGAAATGGTAAAACAAAACAAAAAAGAAACACATAAGTCTTAGTATCATTACTTGCTAATCATGTTTAAAATGTTGACTAATAGTATTCACCAAACATAATATGAGCTATTTATTTTTCCTTTCCAGGTGCAGTGTGAATCTCACCAAAGATGGGCACATTTTGCATGTGCAAAATATAAAGAGAGCAACCAAGAATATAAATGCAAAAAATGTAAGGAAAACACATAACAACTTCAAATAAAAACAGCTGTCTTTTCCCCTCCATGTCTCTTTGCATTATTTGTCAACATTAGATGATTGTGTGCTGGAGGCATGTTTTAATAGTGTGATTTGGCCATCAGAAAATGCTACCTAAATAAATCCCAGCAGGAAGCACGTTTTAATAGTGTGATTTGGCCATCTGAACATGCTACCTAAATAAATCCCAGCAGGAAGCACGTTTTAATAGTGTGATTTGGCCATCTGAACATGCTACCTAAATAAAACCATGCAGGAAGCATGTTCTTAACGTCCTAGCGAAATAACTCAAAGTTTTTAAGTATGATTTGGCCATCTGAACGTCCTACCTATACGACGGAGCCATTAACCACGTAAGGTAGCATATTCTGATAAGGTAGCACGGATTGATAGACAAGACCATAAATTTACGCTACGGTAGGACGTTTTGACAAGGTAGGACGTTTTGTCAGAACACCGGGCCTTATGTTTGCCACCGTTGGTATACAGTATCAAAGAGCTGCAAGGTTTGTTACAGTTACATGTGTATGTGCTGCAGTCGGTCAAGGTGCGCACACACACACTTAGTCTCTATCGACACAGGACCACTGTTGCATCATGCCCAGCCGCATTACTAATAGATTAAAAGCATTAACAGACAACACCAGCATTAATATTATTCCACAATCCTTACCTCATCGCCCCACTTTAGCACATCTTTCTGACGATCCTTCAGTTTGTTGTAGATGTTGAGAAACTGGATGATACCGTGTTTTCTAATGTGGTCAGCATACTTTCGGGTTTCTTCCCAATTCAGTGGAGATCCCTGTGACAGTAGACCCATCGCACACGCTGACTGCAGGTATAAAGTGACCGCTGTTCGGCTCTTGCTGCCTGCTTTCTATTTAAACGGCACGCCGGGCGATAGCTAGCTAGCTCGTCTGTCCAGGTGGGAGAGCTCGCATGAAGCGTCGGTTAAAACAAGCGGCAGAGGATGGAGGGTTTTCAGCAGAGCCGCGGGCTGAATGAAGGATCTCTTGGGGCTTCTAAGCAACAACGTGCCCTGTCGGTAACCTCAGCTGGACGTCCAAAAGAAACAGGCCCCTGCTCATCACTTGCTAATGCCTCGTTAGCTCGGTACCGTGAGTTAATAACTCCGCACCCGCTGCTAAACGGACGACTTAGTGCCTGGTGACACCAGCTCGGTAAACAGCCACGAACTGAAGCCAGTAAAAGCGCAGCTATATGGGAGGGAATGACAGCGACGTGCGCCGGTAGAGAAGTCGGTGTTTCGGAACCACTCTGCCGCACGCAGTCGCTCAGTGTTGTTCATATGAACGCCCTCCTGCTTCAACACACGTGACATCTTCAGGCGGAGCGTAGCGTGGAGTTGCGTCACTATGACTCAGCAATCTTCGCTTCGAGTCTCCGCCCACTAAGCCGTCAATCATAGCGAGCACCAGGGCACGTTCAAGAGCGCTGGAAAAGCGAGATGCCGTAGATATAAGATTCGTCCAGATTACAGTTTTTCGCAAATGCTAAAACATTTCAAACGTTTCCACCATGTTCCCCAATGTCTAAACACACTCTTTTCTAAAGCTACATAAACACAACCACACCTTCTCACTGCAAAACTCAAACTTTCACACCAAAAGAGCAGCTCGAAGCTTTCAAAAATGTAAACACTATACACATCATTACACACTACAGCAAAACAATTGAAAACACAATGCTCAATTTGTGAGAAGGTTCTTTGTTTCATAACTGCCAATGCATATTTTTAGAAACCATACAGTAACAGATCGTCGTAGATCTCTGCGAGGATTAGGCATTTAGATTTGAGTGTTTCATATGAAGAGTATAAATCTATAGAAAATCCTGCATGTACGTACACTGTAACACAACTCAATGCAAAAACAGAATCTATTGCACACAACAGTACTCCTGAAAACATGATCAGGGTGTGAAGGTTTTTTTTTTAAATTTACATTAGTCACGCCACAATCACTGTGCGGCATCATGTCGCTGAGCTGCATCGGGCCACATCACCTCATCCACATCGCAGGCTATTTTATCTCTTGCCAGGCACCGCAGGAAAAACGCCCTGGAATGGCAAATCCATCCTTTGAAGGCCTCTGCTGGGATGTCAACACAGGCCAGCTCCATTGCCCTTAGGAGGTTCTCTCTTGTGTATGGTTGTCTGTCATAAACCTTGCATCTCCACGATGAGAAGAACTCCTCTATAGGGTTCAGGAAAGGGGAGTAGGATGGCAGACAGACGTTTAAAAAGTGGTCACTGTTGGTGGTGAACCACTCTGATTTGGTGGAAGCAAACATTGTCCCAAATGATCACATAAATGTGATGTGCAGGCCCAGGATGGTGTTGTTGGTGGTCCAAGAGGATGCCTTTTAGCTCCTCTAGGAAGGTGAGGAGACGTTGGGTGTTGCAAGACCCAAGGACAGCATGCCGGTGGACAAGCCCCTCCGAACCCATGGCCGCACAAAGGGTAATATTACCCCCCCCCGTTGGCCAGGGACCTCAGTGATGGCTCTTTGGCCGATGTTACGGCCTCTTTGCCTTCGTTTCTGCAGGTTGAAGCCAGCCTCATCCAGAAAGAGGTACTCATGAGGTCTGGCCATCGTGTCCAACTGTAATATCCTCTGTGAAAATGTGAAAGTGCACAGGTGTTCAGAACAACAGTCAATCAGGTAGCACAGTATTGTCCAGAAGTAATGTAGGCCACTGAGCAACACAGTATGTCCACTAACTGTACTGTGAACATGGATATATACTTACTTGCACTTAATCGTAACGTAGGTCTTTGTGTCGTGCAGAGTTGCGCTCAAAGGGAACCCTATAGATCTGTTTCATCCGCGTCTTTTTGCGCCGGAGAACTCGGTCTATTGTAGCCAAGCTGACATCGTCAGTGCTCTCAAAGTTGACATTATCGGCAATGACTTTGTCTCTGATCTCCCGGCGTCTGATGAGGTTGTTCCCAGAACCATATCCACAATGAGGGTTTCTTGTGCCACTGTAAATATGGCAACCCTCCCACCTCTATGTGGCGTTCTTTCAACTCTAAAGAAAGAAACGTGTTGTCAATTGACATGTGTTACAATACAGTCACAACTGATTTGAAACCAATAGACTACTTTCACAGGTTTGTAAAACTGTATTGTGACAAAGAAAGCAATCGAGTACAATACCTGTTGTGTTGTCTGAATGCCCTGATAATGGTGGCCACGGTGAACCTACTCAGGTTTGGACGGACTCTTAGTCCTGCTTCAGCCATTGTCACGCCATGGACAATGACATGGTCAAGGACTGTCGCTCGCATCTCGTCCGTTATGATGGTGCGAGGTTGTCTTGCTCTCCCTCCTGGACCTTCTCCTCCCCCATGTTGGCCTGCTCCTCTTCTTCCAGGGCCAGCTCTTCTCCCTCCTCTGCATCAAATTCCTCTTCCCCTGACTCTGCCTTCATCCATTGTGTTTGTTTGGACTCTTCAGCATACTGTGCACTCTGAACTTGCTTTTATACATGTGGTCACAGCATTAGCAACAGGTGTCTTCAATTTTGAGTCGTTGTGTGTAATGAATGACGCCAGGTGTGTTCATTGTGTTCAAATATTGCTGACTGTGGCAAGCATGTTGCATCACATGAGCTTTCATGTGAGAATATGAGCAGAGTTCTTTTGCAACTTGTGTTTTAGCAAGAAAAGATGTGTTTAGATTAATGACAACGGAGGATTGTGTTCTGTGAATTGTGTCTTCATGTGTTTATGATATTGGTAAATGATGGCTAGATTTAGTAAATGTGTTTAGACAACTGGTCATTTGGTTTAGGGGATTGGCTTTTGCGTTTTAGCATTTGAGAAAAACTGTAAAATACTTTAATAATTTAAAAATTCTTTTTTATTTCTAATTTTAAGATTTTATTTTAGTTTCATTTAAAAGAAAAACAAGCAACACAAAGAAGAAGAAATAAATATCATGACAGTGAGCAACACCAAAATAATCAAAGAACTTATTTAAGAAGGTCTATTTTTTTCTATAGGGTCATCAGCGAGGCTCCACAGGCAACGTCTTTCATCCTCTGTGTTTCTAGCCAGGAACAGATTTAGCTACAGTCTATAAATGGTAAAATGATAATGGAAAAATGGGGCACTGAACTTCAAAATGGGGCACTGAACTTCCTTCCTGTGGAAATCAAGTTAAGCTATTGAATTACTGTTTTTGTTGTTTAATTTAAATTTAATTATCTAATCACGTTTACTCTCGAGCAACTGTTAAAATCAATTGACTATAGGGAAATCGTTCATATTCTCTTTACATTGACCTTTTCTAACGCAGATTACTGTTTGCCATTGTCTTTTCCATAATTATGAACTGATTATTTTGATAAGACCAGAATCCACGCCAACTCAGGTTAACCTGCTGTATGGCAAAGTATTAAACATTCACTTTAGGCTTAATTATCAAAACTGGTATTATGTGACTTTCTGTCTTGACAAATAAATAATGAATATATACATTTACATGGAAGATTTGGTTTATTCTTACATATATGAAAAAAAGAGGGTTATTACATTAAGAACAATGACTATTAAAGACAAAATATCATTTTGTCTGAGTAAATGTGCCTCCTTGTATACACAGAACACAAAATTAAAACACTGTTGTTTATCTGACATAAGGCAAGCTTTTCGTTTCTTTAGTTTTTTGGTTTCATGTTCATTTGGAGTTTTCTGATTATTGGCTCCCTCTTTGTTTTTGTTTTTTAAAGTAAAGAATAGTATGAGGAAGACTACGGAAAACAAAATCAAAAGCCTCCATGTCCTGTTTGTTTGTTTTTGCAGGGTAACTTATTTACCCTTAGTTTCCACAGCACTAAAATGAACGAGTCATGTTTAGGGTAGAGTGTTCATACTAAGGCAAATTTGCAAAAGTAAATGTAATAATGATACAGCACTCTCGTGAGAGGGCGAGGATAGACCTATTGTATATGCATGAGTTGACAAAATAGCTTGTAGGGTTATTACACTCATAGCCAAATAAGGATTTAAGGATGTGGTTTAACCAAACACAATCGACTGCTCGGGTCACACCCCTCTGTGTCGATAAAACCTGCACAGTCACTTAGAGGCAATCACTACAAGCAATGTCACTGTCAATGTAATGTTTTTGTCCAAATATTAAGAGTTTCTTAAGTTTTATTCATAAATATATAGTAAAATACATTTGTGAGACTCGGTTTACAGCTTGTTTAAATACACGTGGGATGCAATTTTATTTTTTAAATTTTTTATTTTACTATAAATGAATATTTTGCTTTGAATTGAGGATTTATGAGTTACTAAAGTGGCGGACAGCAGCTGTAAGTGAAGACCATAGCAAAACCTGGCTAACATGTACATTACAAGTGATGTTAATGCAATAGC